AAAGAAGGGAAACTTGTTGGTACCAAGTGATAAATTTGTTTTGCATAAGCACGTGTTTTGGAAAATTATATATATGGATAAAATTAAAATACATCTTTCATTTTTATGTCTTTTCTAGCGAAAGATACTCATACAAAAATTAAAACAATGAATATATTTATAAATTAGAAAATGGACAATCCATACATAAGGATCATTTTAAGCATAACTCTATTCTACAATGTTTCCCGATAATTAGTATTATGTCGCGATTTTACTTAGAAAAAACAATTTAAAAAACTAATACTTTGAAATAAAGTCGTGACTTTATCTTTTAAAGAAATTAAGAAAACTTCACACTAAAGACATTAACAAAAAAAAGTCTAAACTTTTTTAGAGAAAAGGGTATGGGATTCTTATTTACAATTCAAGAAGGTCTTTAAGGCACTTGAAATGTCTGGTAACACAAAGTTATCCGGTGCTTTGAAATTATTTAAGTAAAAATAATTAATTAGGTAAAAATGTCATAAAGGTATTTAAGGGAAAAGTTGATTTTAAAAAGGAAAAAAATAAATGGTTGAACATTAGTTAAAACCATAACAAAAATGGTCAATTGAGGTGAAAAATCACTTGATTAATAAAATCATTAAATCAATACAAAATAATTTTTGTTCATCTTCAAGAAAAATTTAATTAATCTGAAGTAAATAAAGTTAGAGTTAATACAAAGAATAATAGAAATATAGAGTAGAGGAGAGAGTAAAAGTGCGTAGTTACCATAGTTCAGATTGCTGGACTAATAGGCTCATTCTTAAACTTTTCCTAAACTATAACGAGGATGCCTCATTTAGGGTTTTTTAAGCCCATTTTCGAACTGCTAAAATTTATATGTTTAACCTATTTCCTTTCTGTATGCATTGCTTGTATACATCTGCATCTACTTAACATCTTATGTACATTAGCTTCTGAAACCTTTAAATTTGCTTTCGTTTTCCTTTGGATGAGTGGTGAGGCTGACTCGAAGAGGGGTGTTGGGTTTCAACCAAACTCGAGATGCAAGATGATGAAAGATAGTCCAATGAACTCAATTGAAGGGAGTTTATACATAGAAAAAGAATAAGAATTTGTAGAGGGAAGGGAGAGATAATTTGACTACGTAAATTAAATTTAAGTAACAAAGACATGAAGAAATCATATTCAAATCTGTACAATGGGCAATAAATAGAGGGCCTTGTTGTCCAACAAAGCTTATGACAAAATTGAAGTAATAAATTGTAAATGGCAACTATCTATCTCTGAACCTCTACTACAGCTCATCAGTACATCACAAACAACGCAAGAAAACAACCACTGTTGAGAGGAAATTACAAGAACACAAAACCCTAGATTTATTCATTTCATTTAATTTAAATTTTCTTGTGCTTTATAGAACATGGAGTTGGTTGATTCAACTGCCATTTCAACATAGCGAATTTAAATTAAACAAGTTAATGCGTTTAACCATAATCTACAACTAACACAAGATTTCAAAGGCTAGATTCTGAAATTTAAGCAATCACAATTAAGACAGAAAAGTTTATATGGAAACTCAACAAATAACTTAAGTCAAAGAAATTATCTTTTGTAGAGCAGCGCGCTATAGACAACGAGAAAAGAGGGATCTATTCAACTAGCACGAACATCGAAGCTTCACCAGAGAAAGCTTTTGAATCCCAACAAAAATTAAAAACCCACAAACCTCTATTATTAGAATAGATGTAGGTAGATTATGAGTGTCTTCTTCGTCTTGAATGAAAATTTTGTGTCCCCCCTCAAAAAGGCTACTTTAAACAATGAGGGGGAGAGGGTTATAGAATGAAGATTAGGTCAAAATTGGGGGAAATCTTAGTGGAAACTGCATTGGAACTTGAAATTAAATACCTTGGATATGGCTTGGAAGAGATGTATTTGTACTGATCTTGTACAATTCTCAACAGGTTGAGAATAAGAGCCATTTGATCTTGAGAGAAGGAAAAAGAGGCACCCAAATATTCCATAAAGGTTAAAGAAATTGTAGAGATTTTTTGGAAATTTTTTGAATGTCTATTCATATCTAATACTATGTATATATACAAGCATAATTATTGAATTAAAAAGATAAAGCAATAACAATATGCACCTGTCACCTTCTAATTTGTAAACCTCCTAACCATATGTAACAAACTATTATTCCATCACATGCCTAGCATGTGAGTCTATTATACTAGACTGATCAATTCAATGATTCATATTTAGTCCGTCTCATTTCTGATGAGAGGTTGAAATTACTCTACTCATATTGAGACAAGTATTGAAGGACCTAGGTTTTGTTAAAGCTATTTGAAATCTTCTTTCCTCTTCTTTCTTCTTCCTTTTCTTTTTTCTTCTACAAAAATCTTCAATCATTTCTTTGGGAGAATAAGAAGATGATAATGGAGAGTTGCGAGTGTCAATATCCCCCCTCAAATTGGAAGGAAGAGAAGAAACCCCCAATTTGTGTAACAAGTACTGATGAGAAGGCAAAGAAAAGGCTTTGTGAACAAATCAGCCAGTTGATGAGAAGATGGGATGAATGATAAGGTGATTAGACCTAAGAGGGACAGTTGGGGAACAAAATTGCAATCAAGCTCTACATGCTTAGTACATTAGTGAAAAATAGGGTTTTTTGCGATGTGAATATAGGCTTTACTATCAAAGTACGTGCATACACCGGTAAAGGAGAAGGAGAAGAAAGGTCAGTGAGGAATCAAGTGAGCCATGTTATCTCAGCTATGACACGCCTCATAGATCAGTATTCCACTTCTACAGACGATCAATACACTGAGGTCTGCTTTTTATATTTACAAGACACAGGAAAACCACCAAGTGTAATGAAGTAAACACCAATCGGCATCGAAGAAGGCAAGGAGTCACAATGAAGGAGCAGAGGAAAGGAGAATACCTTTATTGGGATCAAAACACGTGTATCTTAAAATACGAATTGCCGCTAAGTAATGTGATTGAGTAGGTAGTTGCATAAATTGACTCAACTTTAACACATCAAACGACAAGTCAGGTCGAGTATGTGTCAAATAATTGATTTTTCCAGCTAAGTGCCTGTAATGGTATGATTAATTAGGTTGCAAAGGTCCATCATCTACGATAAGCTTAGAGTAAGGGTCAAGTGGATTAGATACATCAGGACATGTATGAGGAAACTCATTTAGAAGCTCCAAAGTGAACCTACTTTGATTTAGCATAAACCCTTGTTATTCCCTTATGATGTCAATCCCTAAAAAACTGTATGTCATCCAATTCTTTGACTTTAAACTCAGTGGTAAGAAATGTAGTGATAGGAAGAATTTCATCTTTGGCATTCCCAGTGATGAGAATGGAATCAACATAAACAACAATAATGGATGTAACGCCACCAACGATCTTGAAAAAAACAAAGAATAGTCATTGACAAAACTTGAATAACCTTGAAAACTCAATGCACCTGCCAATTTAGCATACCACTGCCTTATAGCTTGTTTTAGCCCATATAAAAATTCTTTCAATAGGCAAACCTGGGAAGATTTAGGAGGGCAAAAACCTGGAAAAGATTTCATGTAGACAAATTCCTATAGATTTTCATGCAGAAAATCATTGTTCATATCCAATTGGTGAACCTGCTAATCTTTCTTCATAGCAATTTTAAGTAAGCATCTTATAGTGGTCATCCTGACTACGGGGGAAAATGTATCATTATAGTCAATCCCTTGTTGTTGGAAATATCTCCCCCCCCCAACTAGTGTAGCCTTCAATCTCTCAATTGAACCATCAAACTTCTGTTTTACTTTATAGACCCATTTTCAGGGCAATGCTTTCTTCCCCGGAGGAAAATCCACCATATCCCATGTATTGTTGAAAGCCAATAAATCTAGTTCTTTTTAAATAGCGGAAGTCCAACCTAGATGTTAAGAAGCTTGGGAAAAACACTGAGGTTCGATGACCTTTGAGAGAGAGAGAGAGAGAAGAGATGGTGTTTGTTGGACAAGGAGAAGGAGTTGAAATAGAAGGTTTTTGGCTTAGAAGGGTGAATAAAAAAAGCATCAGTTAGGTCAGTCAGAACTATACTATTTCAAATGTAGTTATACAAATATCTAGGGACAGTAATTACACTGCCAGACCTCCTAGGAAGAGGAGAAGGGTCAAGGTAGCTGTAGGAGAACTAGGAATCGATACAGGATGAGGAGACGAGAATAAATCAAGAGAAGAAGGAGGTAATGATGGAGACTCCTCAGAAGGGATGAGAGGAGAATCAAGAATTTTGTCAAGTAGGTCAGAAGGGAAGGAGGAGAAAATGGGAGGTGTAAGAGAAACAGGAGAATTGAAAGGAAAGTGTTTTTCATGAAACTTTAAATCTGTGGAGGCAACCTTTCTAGTAGCCAAATATAAAGCTTTGAACCCCTTTGAGAAATGGGAAGGTAATTTTACAAAAGAATAGTGTACTTGTTATTATTGTTGACACCCAATTTTGGCTCTCCACAATTTAGTTAATTTTCAAGCTACTTTTATTTCAAACAATTTGAAATAATCATTTACGAATCTTTCAAGACCATTTTCAAGGCAATTAATATATACACACACACACACACACACACACATAATATATAGTTTCATGTATTTACTACTTTGAATAAATAATCATTATTTGTTATTTTTTATTTTTTTAAAATATAGTTTTACTAAAAAATAGAATTTCACTAAGTGCACATTTTCTTTCCTTGAAAGATCATTTAGAGTACATAACTACTCTCGTTATTTCAAAATAATTTTAACGGTTATGTTAAATGATTATTTTACACTGTTAAAGTTAAGAAGCATAATTGTTAATTAAATACGTACTTTATTTCGGTTTTAATTTAAAATGTGGTAAAAAAACCCAGGTCATTCAACAAAGGACCATTTGGATCAAAAGAAACGACCAATATTTTTGGCCCAATCACCTCATACCTGGCCCTTTTCCCCTTTAACTCAAATGCTCTTCTTCTTCTCTCATCAATAGCTCATCTTCCTCTTCCTCTCTCCTTATACGTTCGTACGTGAATCGTACTCGATTCAGCTAGGCGTTGCAATCTCGTATTCCTCTTATCCTTGCTCAAAATCAAGCGTCCCTCATCAATTATTCCATGGAATTAGTACTATTTCCAGCTCATGCCTTATCCTCTGGAATTTTCAAATTACTCAAAGTCCCACATCTACTCTAGGCTGTGATTTTAGATTTTCTCAACCCCTATAAATACCCTTCTCACTCATTGTTCAAAAGGAGGATTTTCGGAGACCAAAGAGTACCCATAAAGTTTTCTGGGAATTCTTGTTTCCATAATTTAAAATTTTTAAAACGTTTTAGTGGCTTTTCAAGTTGAAGAGGTGGAATCGTCTCAGTCAAATTTGTTGTTCAATTCGCTGCCCAGAACCAGGTAAATTTTTTCTTAGGTTTGCTTGTGTTTAATACCCAGGTTGTTTTCTATTTATGTGTTCTTGGCTTTGTTTAAAATTTTTTTTGATATTTGAATAGCCAATAATGTTTCTCATGTTCTTACTGTTTTAATGTTGTAGTCATAAATCTTCCTAGATTCTTTGGTTTCTATTTGTGTTGCTCGTCTAAATTGGTCGTGAAGACTAATGTTCCCCTTAGTTCTAGTCCTTGCAATTTTTACTTTAATGATGAGTATCAAATTTCGTGTTTATGCATTTAATATGTTAAATGTGTTAGTTTGATTTCTATGTTAAGAACTAGTGTTTCAACATGTTTAATCATTTTCTAATCTTCTTCTTGAATTATTGCATTTAGAAACTTGAATCACTTGAACTTGTGGGCTGTTTAAGTTCTCTTCTTATATCCATTTAAGCTTCAGTTTCTTATTATGTATTATAATTTGATTTTCTTCTCATCTAAGTTGGGTAGCCGCTGATTTGTTGTTTCAAGGTTAAATCTTGTTGGTTTTGTGAAATTAAGATTCTCATAGAATCTTTTGTTTTGATGAGTTAATCGTGAACTGGCGTTGTTTGTTTGGTTTCAAGAGACCTTAAACCTTTAAGCATTTCTTTACAGCTTCATTAGATTGTTTTAGTTGAAATTTCAGTAAGACACCTCCAAATTTTAGTTTTGTATACCTTCTCTCCTCGAGTTAATGGTTGATAGGTTTCTTCAACGTTTAAATATAGTGTTAGGGGAAACGTGAAATTAAAGAACAAAGAAGAACAACAATATTTAATGTGGTTCGGATCAAAATGATCCTACGTCCACCAAAGAACAACCGCACCAATATTTATTTCGCTCTACAAAGAATACAAGTTAAATACTACAAGAAAGAACATAAATGCCTTAGAAGGTGAGAAGGCAAGTAAGAGGATTATTTGAAAATGAATTAAGAGCTACCTATTTATAGGAATAAATTTATCCTATTGATGTCATCAATGACATCACTATATGTAAAAAATGTCATAGTTAAGAATACGAAACCATTTTTTGGTTTGCCTAAATTTCACATACCAAGATACAATCGTTGACTTTTATTTTGTACTAATTATTTCTAATTATCTTCCTACCAAATATTCATGTTAATTCATCTTCCATTTAGTTTGATTCCACAAGAACCTAACCAACTCTTTCAATCTCCTCTTTTGTTTGTGTTTTGAGCATGCGTATATACAACTCCGGCCAAAACTTATAAGCTTACAAGGCAATCTCGTTGTAAGAAACAAGAAGAATCAAATCTTTGTTGAAAATACTAGCTCCACCTAGTAGTTGTTCTCACAGATTCGCATCAAATGATGAATACTCCCGCCAAGTCCTTGTAGTGCGCAAACTTGACAAGCGGGACTATTTTTGTCAACATGTCTGCAACGTTATCGTCTATGATAACCTTATCAACCTTGATAGCTTCCTCTTCTACGACATCTCAAATAAAATGGAATCTGACATCAGTGTGTTTGGTGCGCTCATGAAATCTTTGATTCTTAATCAAATGAATAACACTTTGACTATCACATCTTAGATTTGATTAGGCCAAACCGAACTCAATTCTGCCACCAAACCTTTCAATCAGATAACTTCTTTCACTGCCTCTGTTGCTGCCATATATTGTGCCTCTGTTGTAGACAAAGTGACAATAGATTGTAAAGTCGAGTTCCAACTAATGGCACTGCCAATGAGAGTAAAGATGTATCCAGTTGTGGACCTCCTTCGATCAAGATCCCCCGCATAGTAAGAATCTACATAATCGAGAATTGAAATAACTTCACTTTTACGGAAGGTTAGGCCAACATCAGGAGCTCCTTTAAAATATCTCAATATCCACTTGACAACTTCCCAGTGCCTTTTTCCTGAATTTTCCATGTACTTGCTTACCACACTTACAGATTGAGCAATATCTGGATGTGTGCGCAGCATAGCATATATTATACTACCGACAACGCTCGCATAAGGAACCTTTGACATATGCTCCACCTCATCCATAGACTGAGGCTTTTGTAACTTTGAAAGCTTGAAATGAGAAGCTAACCATGTACTTACAGGCTTGGTCATATGCATATTGAATCTTTCAAGAACTTTTTCTATGTACCTCTTTTAAGAAAGATGTACAACACCATTTTCTCTTGAAATCTCCATTCCAAGGATTTTCTTTGTAACTCTCAAATCCTTCATGTCAAATTCCTTGCTCAACAATTTCTTCAAAATATTTATCTCGATGATGTTGCTAGCAGCAATAAGCATATCATCAACATACAACAATTGATGAATCATAGAATTACCAGACATTTTCTTGTGATACACACAACTATCAAATGCACTCCTCAAAAATCCATGTGTAGTCATGAATGCATCAAATCTCTTGTACCACTGTTTAGGGGATTGCTTCAAACCATTCAAAGACTTCTTAAGTTGGCATACATGGTCTTTTTTTCCTTCATCTAGGAATCCTTCATGCTGATCCATATAGATTTTCTCTTCTAGATCACCATGTAAAAAAGCAATTTTGACATTAAGTTGTTGAAGCTCTAAATCAAATTGTGCAACCAATGCTAGTAGCACGCAAATTGAGCTATGTTTGACGACTGGAGAGAAGATCTCATTGTAGTCAATTCCCTCCTTCTGACTGAAACCCTTTGCAACCAATACCGCCTTTAACCTAGCATCTTCCACTTCTGGAATACCTTCTTTCTTTATGTAGACCCATTTGCATCCAACTGTCCTCAACCCCTTTGGCCTTTTAACTAAGACCCATGTCTCATTTTTGTTAAGAGGCTCCATCTCTTCCATCATGGCTAACTGCCATTGTGCAACATCTTTGCAAGAATTTGCTTCAATATACGAAGAGGGCTCGAGATCCTTAATCTCTTCTTCTGCAGCTATGAACGCATGTCCAATATAAGATTTTCTTGCTCTATTATGGTTTATTGGAAGCAAGTTCTTCAAAATCTTCATTTATTGACTCATCAATATGAGTTTCTTGATCCCGTTCCTTGGTAAGCTCCATGGTAGCTGCACCTGCTTGTTGTTCTCGTTTCCTGATGACTCCACAGAAACTTTATGAGGATCAAGTATAGAGGATTCATCAAAGGTAACATCTATACTAACTACAAAATTGAGTAAAGACAAACACCATATTTTTTTCCCTTTTACTCCATCTACATACCTACAGATATGGCCTTTTTGGCCCTTGGTTCAATCTTTCCTTCATTAACATGATAATAAGCTGGAAACCCAAATATTCGCAAGTATGAATAGTTAGAAGGTTCACTTGGACATACCTCATTTGGAGTCTTAAAGTCAATTGTTGATGCCGGAAATCAATTGACAATATGAGAAGACGTGTGAACTACTTCAGCCCAAAATACTTTGGACATCTTGGCTTGTAAGAGAATACAACGAGCCTTCTCAAAAAGAGTTTTGTTTAGTCTCTCGACAACTCCATTCTGCTGTGGTGTGTGCCTGATCATCTTATGTCTTGCGATCCCATGAACCTTGCAGAAATCATTGAACTCTTCACTGCAGAAGTCCAAGCCATTGTCTGTGCAAAGATACTTGATTTTTCTCTCCATTTGATTTTCATCCAAAATCTTCCACTATTTAAATGCTTCAAAAGCATCACCTTTTGTCTTCAGGAAACACCCAAACCTTTCGTGAAAAATAATCAATGAATGTGAGAAGATACCTCTTTCCTCCTTTCGATGAAAGCTTAGAGGGACCTATAAATCTCAATGGATGTAGTCTAGCACCCCTCCCATCTTGTGCTTTCCAGTGCTGAAGCTCACCTTTTTTTGCTTCCCTAAAATGCAATGTTCATAAATTTCAAGTGTGTTGATCTTCTCACCATTCGAAAGTTTGTGGTTGCTCAAAATCTCCAATCCTCATGCGCTCATATGGCCTAGTCTCATGTGCCATAATTTTTCCTTGTCATCATTAGATAATTACACTGTATATGTATTTACAGAGCTAATAATGGCTCTTCCCCCAAATGTGTAAAGGCCATCCTCCAGCTTGGCCTTTAACATGACTAAAGATCCTTTAGTCACTTTCATAGTTCCTCCTTCATTCATGTACTTATAGCCTTGTTTATCTAAAGTACCCAGGGAGATCAAATTCTTCTTCAGATCAGGAACATGACGGACTTCTGTAATAGTTCTCACGATTTCATCATGGCAGAAAACACGAACTGAACCAATGCTAACTATTTTACTAGTTGCATTATCGTCCATTAGTACGGTTCCCCTAGTTGTTTCATAGCTACTAAACCAATATCTTCGTAATATCACATGTAGAGTACAACCAGAGTCTAAGACCCATTTTTTGGCATAGACTCCACTATTCCATGATGTTGTTAGTACATCATCGTCATTATCATGTACTTGTTAACAATGGATGCACTCGCCTTTTCTTTGGACTTCGTCGTAGGGAAATCTCATTCAAAGTGACCTTTCTTGTGACAACCCCAACACTCTGCATTATTTTTGTTCACATGAGACTTTGATCTGTACTTCAATTTGCACCTTCTCTGTTGGTTAGTACGACCTCTTACAAAGAGTCCACTAGCTTCGTCACTTTTGTCTCCTTCAAAATGCATTTGCACATCACAAGAGTTAAGTGCTTGTCGCACTTGCTCAAGTTTGATAGGTTGTTTGCTATACATCATTGAATTCTCAATCTCACAATATTTTGAAGTAAATGAAAATAACAAAGAACATGCAAGCGTCTCTTCGTCCTTTTTATCTCGAGCAGTTTGTAAATCCATCACAAGTTTATTGAACGCATCTAGATGATTTTGCAACAAAGTACCTGAATCTATCTTAAATGTATGAAGACACCATTGTAACAACCTTCTTGTTGTCACTGACTGGTCCTGGTAAAGCTCTTACAACTTTTTCCATAACTCCTTGGTTGTCTCTTCGGTACTTGTACTCACTTCACAAAGTACGTTAGGTGGAACGGACAGTTGGATTGCACTCAATGCATCTCCTTCAATATTTTCATTGTAGGAACCAGATATCTTATCGGGGTAATTTCTGTCAATAGCATGGTTTGAACCTTCCCTTCGCAATAACGCTATCATTTGGATTTTCCAGATATTCAAATTATTGCGCTTACTAAATTTATCAATTTCAAACTTTATGGAACTTATTTTTTACTTGTTCTTACTTTTCTACTACAATGTATTTGGAACTACAAAAAACCAAAGTAATCCTTTTCTGACGTGAAAGTTTAGATTGTGCTGCAACCACAAAGCATACTCAGACAAAACCTTGGGTCTGATACCAATTGTTAGCAGAAACATGAAATTAAAGAACAAGGAAGAACAACAATATTTAACATGGTTCGGATCAAAATGATCCTACGTCCACCAAAGAACAAGTGCACCAATTGTTTCACTCTACAAAGAATTACAAGTGAAATACTATAAGAGAGAACACAAATTCCTTAGAAGGTGAGAAGGCAAGTGAGATGATGATTCGAAAATGAATTAAGAGGTACCTATTTATAGGAATAAATTCATCCTATTGATGTCATCCATGAAATCACTATGTGTCAAAAATGTCAAGTTAAGAATATGAAATCATTTTATGGTTTGCCTAAATTTCACCTACCAAGATGCTATCTTTGACTTTTATTTTATACTAATTATCTTCTTTCAAAATATTCATGTTAAATAAATCTTCCATTTAGTTTGATTCCACAAGAACCAAACCATTTCTTTCATATTGCAGTCTCTGTTGTTTTGAATTTAATTAATACTAATGTCAGTTTGCTCCCCCAACAGTGATAGATAATTACATTTGATTGTTCAACAAAAAATTCAGCAGTGATAAACTTGTCATTAAAAGTTTTAAGCTTAAGTTGATATCATCCTAATGTTGTTAATATTTTTTTTCCTTTCTTTTCTTGGCATGTACTCTCTCGTTTAAGTCCAATTGGACTCCCCTGTCTAGCATATCCCTCTTCTTGAGTCAACCTCTTTCGGAGTCATGAAAGGGAAGTCATGTTATTGGGTTAATATCCCAAGAAGGTAGCAGCAACAGGGGCTAAAAAGAGATGGAATGATTAAAAAAAATTGGGTTAAACCCCCAACTAGAAGCAGTTGCAATAGCCTTGTCAAGACTGAAAACTGATGATTTTGGACTCTCAAAAGTCCACTAAAAGCAGCATATTTGCAGCAGCCTCTAAGGGTTAGAAGAGTAGCGTTTCTTAGACTTACAAAGCCAGAGAATAGAACAAAAGGAACATTAAACATTTTGGATTGAAGGGCCTAAAATCAAAGCGGCAAAAGGCATTATTTTCAGCCTTGAAGTGACCATTTATGGGCTGAAATTTCTTAGTTATCTTAGTTATTGTTTATATTTATTTACTTTTTTTATTTTTGTGGCTGTTGATTATTCTTTTAATTAACTTATATGAATCCTTTGGAGGTTTTCGAACGACTCTTCTATTTCGTTATTTGTTTACTTTAAGTTCACAAAACTTATTTTTAAGTTTAGGTAATTTAAGCTTATTAGAATAACTTGAGAACCTTTCATGTTCTTTCATAGTTATTGAAATTCTTTGATTCCATTTTTATAAGTTTTAACTAACTATTTAGTTCAAATTTTTAAATAGGTCAAAATTGCTAAATTTCTTAAAAATAAATTTGTTGTCTTTCACTTTCACTTACGACTTTGTATGAATGACTTAAGGATTTTCTATATCCTTTTGATAGTTGTTAAACAAGGTTCCTTAATCCATATTTAGGAGTTTGAATTATTCATATTGGTTCAAAACAGAAATATGATTAAAGTTTTAAGTTAAACAATTTGAACTTCAAGACTAACTTGAGAATTATTCAATATTCTTTGATAGTTAGTATTTATCTTTCAAATCCACGCTTAAGGTATTGTGTTGATTTTTCAACTCTAAAACGTGACCTCAGATAAAATGTTAAGTTAAAATTATTATTTTGACCGTCTAGCATTTGACTTATTTCACACTTGGAATAAGATGAGTGTATAAGTGTCAAAAGAATTTAGTTGTTTTAGAACAAGATTTTTTACAAGTAATCTTATGTTTTCTTCAGAATAATTAGCCAAATTTTAAAATCTGGCGATAAAACGTATGATTGCGGATTTTCTAAGATGCCTTAGCCCTTCTTAGAAAATTAATTGAACCCTTACCCGACTCTTGTTTATTAAATGTCTTATTTAAAACGTTTTCATAGAGAATCTCCTTTATAATTATTTTTCTTGATCCTTCTTAAAAATCAAGTGGTGACTTACCAAAATTACTTATTTTTCAAAAAACTTAACAAAATTTGTCAAAGTTGCGAAATCGGCTTCGAAACATTTTAGTTTTCAAAATCGAGTCGTAACAGAATGGCGACTGTGCTGGGGATTCATCTAGGTTCTAACCAAAAGAATTTTACTGTTTGTCTAACCATTATTTGTATTAAATGTATCTTTATGTAATTATTTGTTCAATCTTCGAATGTTAGTGTCATTGCATGCATAACATTTATTCCGTCAAACGACACTCTTTTTTATTTTTTACTTAAAAGATGATTATGCGGGTCGCAGTCATTCGTTAACCATACTTTTTTCGAGGCACCATGATGAATGTAGTTGGCTATTGGATAGTCAACGGTCGTTAACTGTCACAACCTAAGTAGTCCGCTTGGGTCACCTATCCACTGTAAATAAATTCAACTCTTAGTCAACTAAGTTAGACCTATGCAAAAAACCTTTTTGTAGGTGAATTTACCTAAGATGATCCAATACCTAAGGTGTATTGGGTCCATTAGAAGACCACCTTGTGTTTAATTAACCTCAGTCAATATAAGACGATCATTCAACTATTTGTTACTTTTGAAGGATATGTATGTCTATTTGTACGTACCATTGTCACTCCGTGTTTGATTTTTTTTATAGGTATTTTTTTTTAAGTCAAAGGAATATAATTTCCATTCAGAAGAAATTCAAAATCATCAAGAAGTTCGGGAATGATGATGGAAGCTTGGTTTAGTTTACCATTGTACCCCTGCGTGAGAGTGATATTTATCTCCCTCTCCTTTATTATGTATCCCCATTTATTTTATTCATAAGTTTTGTATAAATATTTTTGGGGCAATGGAACAATTTATAAATTATATACACACCCTTCAAACATTAGGCTTACCTTTGGTTTAATAGGTCACATGTATGTCAGGAGGCGTTATATATTGTTTGTGTTAAGTGTTACAAATTTGTTTCATTTGTTCTTGTTTGACCTATGTGTTTATATACATATGTTTGATTTAAGCATAATTGGTCCATTATTCCATTGCAATGTCTTAGAACATCAATCAAATTTACAAACCTTCCAAAATAATTTAACTCTATTACCAAAATACGTTCAAAATCACTCAAGTTTTAGGTTCAGTAGCGGTTTAGAAAATTATTAGGTCATCATTCAAATTCATGTTGACCTCATTGTTTATTTAAAATAATTTTTTATACCTACCTAGCCACCGTTACTATACATTACGTCAGATTCTATTCAATTCCAAGACATCTTTGTTTCTAAAAAGAGCTTCCAGTTGAACCTTCCAAAATCAACATTTGAATCTTTACTCAAATAATATAGTTTTTTTTTATTCAAATAAATTTCTTTCGTCAAAATTAGAGTTTACATATGATCAAATCTTATCCATTCGATCATTTTTTAAAGTCTTCACCTCCTCGAATTTGGACTAATTTGTTTTAAGAAAAACAAATGTTATTTGTTTATATATTATTTTGGTTTAATAATATGATTAATGGACTAACTTTCTTATTTTTTTGAGTTGTTTTTAGAATAAGAGATTGATTCGTGATAGTAATAAAACTTGCTCACATTATCAAATACCCGCTGGCTGAACATTCATATTTTACACGGTGTAAGGTCAAGGGAATATCTACAGACTCTTCATTTCTTACTTGGACTACTAAGAGAACTCGATCAAAAATGTATCCCACTATAAACACAGTTACTTCGTCTGAAATGATCCCCACTTCATCTACCATGACCAATCCTAGCGCCTCGTTAGCAACAGAATCATCCATGGAAGTCATTGCTTGTCTAGAATGACGAATCAGTAAACTGAATCTCCTGATAGCTCAATACCAAACTGCTTCTCAGAATCAACCACCTGATGCTCGCCAAAAGAGGCCCATGCCACCTGTGTGCCTCACTTTGAGCAAGTCTCATCAAGGAGATCATTTTTCCACCTTTTAGCAAACTCAAAGCACCTCACTCACTAATTCAACTCAGGATACTCCTTTTGTGTAAACATTTGCTCTACCAAAAGCTCCAAATGCAACATATAACACTCCGCAATGTACAGTTATGTCACTGCTCCACCTGTTACCAACGCTCAGGAGTTTCACCACCAAGATCTTAATCACTATGTTGAAATTGAAAGTGATGCAAAAGCAATTGATGCTGAAATGATGAATAGAAAGATGAAAAGCTTAAAGGATGCAATAAGAGGTCTTCGTGGGTTTGACAGTAGCCAGAGTGTTAGATAAGAAAAATTGTGCACATTCCCTGAGGTTGAGCTTCCACCAGGTTACAAAATACCAAAGTTTAAAAAGTTCAGTGGATCACGAAATCCTTTCTTCCATTTGAAAATTTACTGTGAAAAGTTGATTGGCGTTGGAAACAACGAAGGGATAAGAATCAATCTATTTAATCAAAGTCTGACTGGAAAAGCCTTGGAGTGGTACTCTAAGCAAGATATGACCAAATGGAGTACTTGGAAGGATCAAGTAAATGCTTTTGTGGATCACTACAAGTTTCATGTTGAAATCCCTCCTGATAGGATCTCTATTACCAACCTAAAACCAAAGTCGACTGAATGCTTTCAAGAATATGCCATTCGTTGGAGGGAAGAAGCTGTTAGGGTGCACCCACCTATGGATGAATCAGAAATTATCACTTATTTTATTCAACCTCAAGAATCAAAATACTATGAGCAAATGGTGACAATAGGTTGAAAGACATTTGCTTAAGTTATCATAGTTGGAGAAATGATTGAAGATGGTCTTAAGACTGGCAGAATAACAAGTTACACCTCATCTCAATTTGCTCATAGATCCTATCAAACTGGTTCCTTTGGAAAGAAAAAAGAGATAGAAGTCATGATGCTAACGACCCGAGGAGCTAACTCATATAATCGTCAACCACCTCCAGGCTATCCTAATTCACATTACCATGTTTTCAACAACCAAGCAACATTTCGTTCTCCATAACAAATGAAAAATCCTCGAAACAATGCACCTCGTCCTAATTTTGAGAAAAAGCTTCCTAGAGTCTTCACTCAATTATGTGAGACACGGACTCAACTTTTTGAAAGATTGAATGAAGTAGGAATGCTTCATCTTGTGGAAGCCAAAACTGTCAATAGTTTAGTCGAGTGGTATGACCCAAGTAAGCGTTGTGCTTATCATTCAGGAGTTGTTGGATGTTATACTGAGAAGTGTATCACTCTCAAACACAAAATTCAAGATTTGATTGAAAATGAGGTGGTAAAACTTGCTCAAGCTCCACCGAACGTGAACACCAATTCGTTACCCAAGCATAAGGAGTAATTTGTTCGCATGACTAGTTGCAAAGAAGAAGCAAGTTTCCTAGAAGTCGCACTTTTGGCATTTTTTAGTCTTGTGTTTAGAGTTTGGTGTTTTATTGTTCTGTAATCGCACTTTTATCACTTTGTTTCTTTGTAACCGTTTGTTTGAGTTTGATTTCCCTTTTAATCATCTTCCGTCTCTAATGAACTACGTATACTCTGAATCTCAAGAATGAGATATATAGGCGGCCTATGTCTACTTCTGTCACCCCCTTTATCACTTTTAATGTTTTGTTGTACTTGAACTACGTTTGACCTGAATTCTCAAGAATAAGATACTTGCACCCTATGTAGGCCTCCGTCATTTTCTCAGTTAAGTTTTTCTTTTCCTGTTAGTCCTCAAGAGTTGGAACTATGTTTGACCTGATTCTTGATCAACAGGATACATAGGCGCCACACCAACTCGATCATTTTCCCAATAAGTTTTTCATTTCTCTTTATAACGAAATTGGGAAGAATTTTGAGAGGATCTCAAAATCCTCAAAATTCATCATAAAGAGAAAATTTATTCAATCTAGAATCAAGGATCATTTCGGAGTTGCAATTGGGGAAAATTTTTTGAGATTAACTCAAAAATTCAACTAAAAACTACAGAAAGTTCGAAAGTTATTTTTTAAACTGGGGCAGAATTTTTGAGAAGGTTCCTTAAAAATTCAATCAAGCAACATTTCGAGGCCAAACAGTTTGTATTCCAGAAGGCAAAGGAGCATCAAGATGGCAAGGCAAATCCAACACGAATCAGTCTCTCAAAACTAAGAATTTTTCTTTGCATGCAGGCACCACAAAAGGCATCATTGGATTAAAAATGACTCCATCATAACTCAGATTATTCCTACTTCCACGCATCTTTCAAAATTTTTTCTTTCCATTTATCATGAGTTACACATTCTTAAAT